CAAAAGACTGAAAAAAAATTACTTACTATTTTTATTTTTATGTGTATGAGTATATTGCCTCCATGTACTTAAGAGAACCCATGGTGTGAAATGCCTGTAGAAGTCAGAAGAGGGTGTCGAATTCCCATGGAATTGGAGTTATGGATGATGGATGATGATGGTGGGTGCTGGGAATTGAACCCACATCCTCTGCAACAGCAGCTAGTGCTCTCAACCACTGGGCTATCTTTCCAGACCCAAGTTCCTTTATTTATAACAGCCTCAGGGGAAGATTACCTTGTGTTGTCTCCCTTCTCTTTTTTTTTCCTTTCGAGGCAGAGTTCAATCCATATCCAAGGCTGTCCTGGAACTCACCAGTAGCCCAGGGTGACTGGCCTTAAACTTGTGGCAATCCTCTAGCCGCAGCCTCCTGAGTCCTGGAATTAGAAGCCTGAGGCACCATGCCTAGCAACAGTATCCGTATTTAGCACTGGGGACCTTTCCCATTGTTCCAGGCGCTGGGCAGGAGAAGAATGGACATTTCCTTCTGTGAAGTACAGGAAGTAGAAAGGAAATTCTGAGCTATCTGGAGAAAAGGGCTAGGTGGGGGTGGGCCGAGGCTATGCTGACGTTCTGAACGGTCTCTCTTCCGGTCCGGTGGCCATCAGCTGAGCCCAGCATGCAGGCCACCAGACACATAGCACCTCTTTCCTGTATCATGGCCCAGGTACATCAAGCCTCTAGGCCTGGCACCACCTGCCCTGCCTGTGAAGCAACAAATGTCTTCCAACCACATTCCTGATTCTTTTTCCTTTCCTTTTTTAACTCACTATGTAGACCAGGCTGGTCTCATCTCACAGAGATCTACCAGCCTCTGCCTCCTGAGTGCTAGGATTGAAGGTGCGTGCCACCATGCCTGGCACACATTCTTGATTCCTGAATCCCTGGGTCCACATCCCCTCCAGATGGCCCCACTGGCCACTCAGCACCTGACCTTCACAGGCCTGACTCTCCTCCTGATAGCGTCATACCCAGGTCTCTGGAGAGTTGGCTTCATTGTTCTTCAAGCCACTTTTGGAACTCCTGGCCCTTCCAGGCCTTAGCATTTTCAATCCTGGCTCCTATGGCTGCAGGGGACCAGGATTCTCTGTTTCCCAGGGGCTCACAGTGTTAGGGGCCAAGCCCATATGTAATGCAGCTCAGCATGGTGGGTCCATCTCAAGAGCAAGAGGTTCTGATGGGGAGGATCTGGGGTGGCTCCCTGGAGGAGGGAGCAACAGTGAGGTCCCTGCAGAGCGAGGAGGACTCAGTTCCATTCAAGCATGGTTTTCAAGTAGCATGCAAATTTCATGTTAGCATTCATGGGTGCTTGCCCTGGTCACACAGGTCTGACTGGGCCGCTCTATCTTCACCCTGAGGATTTCCTGCTCTCTTAAAGGGCCAAGGAGAATGTCTAATAACCCCAGTAGCAAAGCTGACCCTACTTCAGATGAACCAGCAGCCCTCATCATGGTAGACTGTCCCTGCCCCAATCAAGCCAGAAGCCTTAAATTCCAGCACCAGTACCATCTGTGCTCCAAGAGAGTCTACCACAGTGATGTTTCCTAGCCACACCTACAGGAGTATTGTTTTTCTTTCCTTTCTGTCAAGTGGGGGATGAAAAGGGATGGTATGTCCACCACCCAGGCCTTTATTTTGCTTTTAGTTTGAACCAAACCTGGCTTGGAAGGCAGAGAGAAGAAAACACAACTTCTGACTTCCCCATAGCAGGCAAAGTAATAAAGGAGAAAGCAAAGCCTGTCTGGGGTGTTTGAATTTTCAGAGCTGGGCTGCCAGCACCTGCTCAGAGTGGATGAACACACTCAGGTCTTCTGTCTGGAGTCAGATTCCCCCGCAGTCACCATTTTCTGAACAGTGATATGGGGTAAGGGGTGGGGGGCTTGTTCTTTCCTATGAGCTGGACCTGGGCTAGCTAGCCCCTCCTCACAGATGGGCAGTTAACTGGGGTAGGGGACAGTGGGCATCCTCTAACAGAATGTTCTCTTTGTTTTTAGCCAAGACTGCCGCTGTTGCACTTGGGGGAGGTAAGTTTCTTTAGGGAAGGGGTACAAATCAGCTCCTGCCTCTGTACCCAGGTTGCCAGGCAGTAGCCTGTCCTGTTCTGGCAGGCTTTCCTAGAGCCTCCTGGGGGTGGTGGAGCAGCAGGAGGAGATTGAATAAGGGGAATGGCTAGAAAGAAGGAACTTGAAGCTAGGTAAGCGAATACAAGGAAAGAGTGTGTTACACTGCTACGGGAGGCCGTGTCCTGGGCAGAGGCCCACAGCCCCTTAGCAGAACAGTCACCACACGTTGTGGTCTTGGGCATATATTTGAATGCCTCTGAATTCTTTTATTTCCCTGAAAAATTGGACCAGTCAAGCCTATTTAGGGCTTTCCGGGGGCTACACGGGGTAAGACAAGAGCAGAGTTGGAACATACTAGATGTACCGTGCTGGTAAGATCAGCTCAGTGGTTCTGGGCATGCTCACTGCAGACAGAGCAGGGCCCTGGGCCGCCTCCTCTCTTTCTTCTCTTTCCCCAGACTCTGGATGATCTCCTAGTCTGACTCAGAGAGAGAGAGAGAGAGAGTACGTGTGTGTGCGCGTGCACATGTCCCTTCCTCTGAGCCCACCACACCGTTTCTCTTCCCCCAGCCATGGCCGTGGCTGCTGTGCCCACCGTGCTGGGTGCTGTGGGCTTCACTGGGGCAGGAATCGCAGCCTCTTCCCTAGCAGCCAAGATGATGTCGGTGTCGGCCATTGCCAATGGGGGCGGAGTCGCAGCAGGTGGCCTGGTGGCCACCCTGCAGTCAGTGGGTGAGTGTCAAGGCAGGGAGAACCCCAGGCAGGGCAAGACCTGCCCAGCCTCATGATCCCGCTTTACCTTCCGTATGCTCTCCCAGTTTCTCCAGGGGAGGCCGAGGAAGGAGGGGAAAACCACTGGCCTGGAATGTGCTGGGTATAGGCCAGAAACTGGGCCTCAAACCTCCACCTCAGGTCCAGGCTTCTTCCTGGCAGGGGGAGGCAACTTCCTCTTGAGTTCTCCCTATAGCTCATGCATGGGGTTGCTTCCTGCAAAAGTCCCTCTGCTAGATATGGGTTTTGGGGGCTTCAGGAAATAGAGGGGGTGCTGTGGGTCCCTGCACCCCAGGACCTCCTGAAGGGCCCTAGCGACTCTGACCCTCTCTGGCCCTGTAGTTCCATCTCCTGGAGCTGCCCCGTGCCATCTCATACTGCTCACCCGTCTGCTTCTTCTTCAGGAGCAACTGGACTCTCCCTGTCATCCAAAATCCTCGTGAGTTCTGCGGGGTCCGCTCTCGTGGCCCGTGCTATAGGCCTCTGAGAATTCCAGCCCTCCTTCCCACAGAGAAGAGAACATGAGAACAGAAGTGACCCTGTCCAGTTTGCCCAAGAGAGGGACCAGTCAGTCATCGGGAGCAGTCTTTCCATGCTGTATGCCCTGGAGAAAAGAAGGAATAAAAACAAGTTGTTACTCTCCTGCTTATGCCTTCCCTTTCTTGTGCAGTTTGGCTGTTAAGGGTGGGCAGGGTTCTCTCTGATACTTGGGTTGGGGAGGGGTGTGTTAGGCTCAGCTGTTCTCACACCATGTTGTCACAGAGCCACATGGCATAGGTGCAGGCTTGGCTGGAAGGAATTTCAATGAGAAAACAGGTGTTGCCCCTGCCACTGACCCTGTAACCCTGAGCAGGTCCCCTCTTCCATTTGTCTCTCCCTAAATGGGGACTTGAACTAAATAACTTCCCAGGTCCCATCCAGGTGGGGGTTGGCTTAGTCCCTATGAGGAGTCAGGGTTAGGGTTAGGGTTAGGGTTAGGGTTAGGGTTAGGCCTCCTGGTTTGAACCACTTATCTCAAAGCCAGAGCTGGTGCCCTTGTCCTCTCACCACTCCACATCCTGTGTGGTTATTTTTGGTAGCTTGGCTCAGGCTCAGAAGTGTCACTTACCTATCCCAAAGTCAAAGTTTATTCTCTAGACCTGCCTTCATTCCTCAATGGCCAGCAGGCAGATTTAGTTTTTGAAAGTCAAGCTGAGCTTTCTGCCCCATGGCTCTGGATCCCAAAACATCTTTCCTCTCAGAACATGGCTTTGTAAAACTGTTCTTCAGGGTGGATCTGCCTTAGAGCACCAAGAAATTGATTTACAAGTTGACTCACTCCTCAGAGACATAACCTTGAAGTAGGTATAACAGTCAGGCCCTGGGCTGGGTGCTGGGGGACAGGACATGACTGAGCCTTTGATGTGGGGGTGGGGCAGCTGGAGGATAGCTGGGGTTGCCCTCTGGTAAGTGCTGTCACTCAGTTTTCCATTCTTGTGTTACCTGAGAACATCAGCTTAGAAGGAGGAAAGGTTTAACAAGTGCTATAACCAAAGCTAGCCCACGGTGTGTTGAGGAAGTGGAATTGTGGATTATTTCCTAGTAAAGACTTCTCGGAGAGATACTGGAGAATTCTCAACATGTACTGGGCATGGTGACTCACGCCTGTAATCTCAACACATGGGCAATTGAGGCAGGATTTCCATGTGTTCAAGACCAGCTTGGGCTATATAGGGGGTTCCAGTCCAGCAGGGGCTACAGTGTAAGGCCAAGTCTCAAAACAAAGCAAAAACACAGAGCGACCCCATCACCAAATGACATCCTGTACACCTGCTCTGTGCTCTGTTAGTAGCCTGGCAAGCCCTCAATTTCCCAAGCAGAATGAAGCTTATGAGCCTGGTTCTGGGCATATTTCAAAAAGCTGATAAACTCATCCTGTTACTGAAACCTAAGGTTGTCTACACTCACCACTCTATGTAAAGCTAAAGGCAGAGGTTGGTAAAAGAAAATAGGTTCATTCAAGTCTGACCTTAAGGAAAATGGGGTAGACTTTTCCTTTTTTTTACATTTATCTTCTAATTTGGGGGTGGGGTGGGACACATGTATAGAGGTCAGAAGACAACTTGTGGGATTCTATGCATCTACAACATAGGTTCTAGGATCAAACTGTCATGGTCATGATACAGGGGGAAAACAGGGTCCCCTCTTAGGGTTCATTTTATTACAGTTTAACAGAAAAACCTCCAGGGCAGGTGGGCTGTGTTATAGGTCTGAGTTCACAAAAAATCACCAGCACCACTTTAAGAAAAGCAGCAAGGTAAATGTTTATTATTTCGACTGGCTGTGCTGTCTATCTCAGAAGTAGATGCAGCCCTGATCATTGTCAGGTCAGAGTTTTTATAGGATTACAGAAACATTCAAACAGGACACTTGTGAACCAATCAGGTTTGTACAACAGCAGAACTTTGAATCTATTAATCAACAACCAATCATTATACAGACAAGCGATACAGTCACATAACCTGGCAATCAACTTTGTAATTTTAAAATTAGTCAACTTCCTAGCCATAATAAGTATAGTAAGAAAGCTGACCACCAGGTGGTCATACAATAACAGGGTGGTCTTATACTTTGTGTCAAGGTGACCTAAAATAGCAAGAGAGTTACAGAAGCAAAAACAAGCAGTTAGCCAGATGTAAAATGTCTGAGATTAGCACGTTCCACTGGTTTGTGATTGTTCTGGTTTGTTTCTTCATTGCTGTGACAAAATACTCTGACCAACACCAACTTGGGGGAGGAAAGTGTTTATTCAGTTTACATCTCCCAGGTCACAGTTCATCAGGGAGCCCAAGGTAGGAACTGAGGGCAGGAACCTGGAGGCAGGAGCTGGAGCACAGGCCATGGAGGATAGCTGCTTATTGACTTGCTCTCCTGGCCTCTGCTCAGCCTGCTTTCTTCTGCAACACAGGCCCACCTGCCCAGGGGTGGCACCCCACACAGTGGACTGGGCCCTCCCAGTGGGCTGGGCCCTCCCACATTACTCAACAATCAAGAAGATGCCCCACAGACATGGCCACAGGCTAGTCCAGTGGAGGCAATTCCCCAATTGAGGCTCCCTCAACCCTTTAGTTGACACTAAAGCTATCCAACACAGTGATTGAGCTACTTCTTAGAACTAAAGGCTGTTTTCTCTCTCTTTTTAAAAAATATTTTAATATTTTATTTATTATTTTTATTTTATGTGTATGTGTGTATTGCCTGCATGTATGTACCCGTGTCGTACAATGCTGTGGAGGTCAGAGGAGGGCTTTGGATTCCCCTGGAACTGGAGTTAAGAACGGTTTGTAGCTGCCACGTGGGTGCTTGGAATTGAACCTGGGTCCTCGGTCCTCTGCAAGAGCAGTTGGTGCTCTTAACCGCTGAGTCATTTCCCCAGCCCGTTTCCTCTTTTTAAATATTTCCCATAAGTGAAAAGAGGTTACTGTTAAAAAAGCTATTCTGAGCAAGATGGAGTAACTTAGGTTTAGTTGCTAATATAGTTCAGGCTGTAAATCTCAGCAGCTTCCCTGAGGAGGAGACCGGAGGAGAGAAGGGAAAAAGCTAAGCCCATTTAAAGCTGATATGGAGGACAGGCACATAGCAGCCACGTGGCTGGGGAATTTTTAAAAAAGGGTAGGAACTAGAGACATGGCCCAACGATTAAGAGCACTGACTGCTCTTGCAGAGGACCTGGGTTCAATGCCTAGCACCCACATGGCAGCTAACAATCATCCAACTCCAGTTCCAGAGGATCTGAGACACCCTCTTGTGACCTCTGAGGGCATTATATAACATGGGTGCAGTTACATACATGCAGGCAATACACTCACACACCTCACAAAGATCTACCTGCCTTTGCCTCCCAAATTCTGGGATTAAAGACCTGTACCACACCTGGCTTAAATAAAATATTTTTTAAAAAGAAAATTAAAAAAAAACAAAACGAGTAAAGAAACCCAAGATGTTGGGGTAGACCAGAGTTGGGGAAATTAAAAAAAAGAGTTAAAAAAAAAAAAAAGGAGGGGCTGGAGAGATGGCTCAGCAGTTGAGAACATTGGTTTTCTTACAGAAGACCCGGGTTCGAATCCCAGCACCCACATGGCAGCTAACAACTGTCCGTAACTCCATTCCCAGTGGATCCAACAGCCTCTTCTGACCTCCACGGGAATTGTACAATATGGGCGCACTTACCTACATGCAGGAAACACGCGCATACACATAAAATAAAAATAATAAATAATTTTTTTTTAAAGTTTAAAAAACAAAAGGAAAGTGGACATGCCTGCGCTGCACAGACTTTTTCACGTGTACCTGGGTTGGACTACAGGTCTCACGAGAGTAGAGTCTGGGCTGTGGCGGCCGGAGCTATGGCTGGACAGGCATTTAGAAAGCTTCTTCCGCTGTTTGATGGAGTACTGGTTGAAAGGAGTGCAGCTGAAACTGTCACCAAAGGTGGCATTACGCTTCCAGAAAAATCTCAAGGAAAAGTACTGCAAGGAACAGTAGAAGCTGTGGGATCAGGCTCTAAAGGGAAGGGTGGAGAGATTCAACCAGTTAGTGTGAAAGTTGGAGACAAAGTTCTCCCACAGTGCAGAGGCGCCAAAGCAGATATAGACGACAAGGATTATTTCTTATTTAGAGACGGTGACGTTCTCGGGAAGCATGTAGACTGAAACCACTGTTGAAATGGCATCACACAGAGCTGTCCATTCCACTGAACCTCTGAAGTATTTCATCAGGTAAATAATTTCCATGCCTCCTTTTATAATAAACTGATGATATCTAAACTGATGACATCTGTTGTCTGTGAAGTCTAGTTTTCCTGTACTGGTATGAACATTTCCAATAAAATAATGTAAATGAAAAAAAAAAAAAAGGAACGTTTAGGCTTCAAAAAAAAAAAACAGGCAGACACTGGGCCTGGTGGTGCATGACTTTATAATCTCAGGGCTGAGGAGGCAGAGGTGGGCAGATCTCTGTGGAGATGGAGGCCAGCCTCTTGTACACAGTGAGTTCTATGCTAGCTGGGGTTATAGGGAGACTCTGTGTCAAAAAAGGTGGGGGCAGGGGGAGGGGCAGACTTACAAAACTACAAGGCTGCTGACCTATTAGGAATTGCTCTAGGGAGGGTGAGGACTTGGGGCAGAAAAATTCACCCTTTCATTAACACACTAGGTATTCAATGTGTGGCTTATGATGAACTCACCTTCCTAGGGGCAGTCCCATGACCAGGTAATTGACCTGGCTCAACTGGAATGTTAAGTCTCCACCCAAGTCAGAGATTTTTAGTCTCTTGACGAGGAGTTTTCTCTTAAGAGAGTCTTTCCTGCTACTGTATGGAACATTACCTCTCTGAAGAGGTAACTGTAAAATCATTTAGGAATCAGATCAGATCCCCCAAGTACTTCTGGCATCTCTAGCCTTTGGTAAGGATGAGACTGCCAAGAGGCACAAGGCTTTTTGGCTTTTAGCCAAAAACATTAACTAACTTCCTTTCCTTCCTTCCTTCCTTCCTTCCTTCCTTCCTTCCTTCCTTCCTTCTTTCCTTCCTTCCTTCCTCCCTCCCTCCCCCTTCCCTGTCCCCTTTCTCTCTCCCTTCCTTTCTTCCTTCCCTCCCTTCTTTTCTT